GATATTTACTGTTTCAATGTAACAGGCCTAAATACCATGTGATAATACTTTTACGTTACAAAGTATGAGTATAATTGTAAGCTCTGGAAAGTAACTTTATAATGAAATGCAATACATAAATTCTAGGGCCTTACAATAACTGGTATCCTCAAATAGAGGCGAAGTACAGAGGTGAAAAATATTCGTGACAAATGGGCCGGTAATGTAAATCTGTATAGTAATACCCATGAAAGTTAAGCAGCGTCTGTCCGTAGTTTGTGATAGTTGCTGGGTTGTGTTTTAAATGGCACATTCTGTATAACCTCAGCGCCCCACGAGGAAAAGAACCTCAATAAGCAAATGTTTGCATGAGAAAAGAAGCAGGTGCAGCAGCTGTATCTGGAAAGATATTTCATTGAGAAGAAAGCATATCTAATTAGTGGCACTACACACTACCCGTGACGTCACGTCCGCCTTCCACAGATTCGATTATTTGAACAGCACCACTATACTGCAAGAGTGAGTCAAAGAGAAAGCATACGGATATATTTTCAAAGTAAGTTAATCTACGTGCAACAATATTTTAATTATATGTAGCAAAATCCTTCTTAAGAAACACATAGTCGCTCAGCTATTCAAGAAATTGCCCGCGCACTTTACGAAATTCGAATATTCATTCTTCAGAACAGCCCAACACCTGTCCCTACCCTGAGCCTGATTAATTGAACACACACTTTCACACCCTACAAACTGATTGTTGGAGACACAGGCCTTGTACAGATAGACAGACAGAGTAACCATTTCAAACAGATCAGAAATCTCATTAGACCTACTTTATACGGTCAAACTTCCCACTTGAGTAATAATAATTGTACTTATAAAAGTACGTATTTTTGATCGCTTGGTTTCTTGTATCATTAAACGTCGTGTTGTTTTGTGTATTATTTGGTGTCCATATCTTATTTGTCCAGAGAATGGAAAATTTGGCTTTGTTAATTGGTTGGTGCCCGCCACGATCTCATAAACTCTCGAATGTGCCCGTAGGCACAAAGAGGTTGGGGACCACTGGTGTACAGCACCAACATCAATACAAAAATTTCACTGAACAGAAATGTGCAAGCAGAATATGCCCAAGAAACAGGGAAAATAGTGGAAGGCCGAAACACTTCACTTCCGCAGCAACTGGGGTTATATGCTGCAAATAGAAGATAAAATCCGACCATGTTTTGCACTCAAGAAGAAACAAACACGATTGAATGACTTAGCTAAAAGCAGCAACCAACTGTGTAATCTTCCTTGTCCTTTTACTGGATACTTTCCCTCTTTACCCTCAGTTGGAAACACGAAAATGCTCTTGTTGAGGTCAAATATCAAGGTGCGATATGAGACGTCCTCCCGAAGCACAATGAAGAGAAATACAGTGATCAAGGCTTCCTTGCTGTCCTTACACTAGACTACTGTACCAAACACTGGCGAAAAGGGCACAGTGAGCTAAAAAAATGTCAGTCGAAAGCACGGGAAACGGGCACGTGGTATCTGAGTGGTTGTACCATGAGCCATTCCTCCATGATACCCGTTCAAGTGCGCAGAGACTACGGGGATAATGCTTCTACACTGAACGGCGGGCAAGCGCTTGTGAAGCAGTTTTCGATTATATGAACCAAGGACAAAGACTATAATATTCGTTTGGGTAATAGGTGTTTAGGCGTTGTAGCCCACTCTCGGCCTTTGCTGCTTGCTGGTAACAGGTCTGATAGATTATTTTTAACCTGTCGGTCGGTCGAAAGTCTGATTAGATTAGTAAGGGGCATAACACCCCTTTAAAATTCTGTGGTAACTATACGAGCAACGTGATTTGACATTCAATAACTCTGAATTTCAACTACAGAGTCTTTGTTTTTTTATTTTCGTAAGATTCTAAGAACAGACAGCATCTATTTACCCAAACAGTATTATATCCAATTGATATTTATAATGGATATACGTTGCGTACGTTTTGGGGTAGGAAATGAGTTTTAAAATATTAATTATTTAGATCCGCTTCGGTTTCAAAGGGCTGACACCCAGAATTGTATTAATGGCGCCATAAATAAGAACAAATTTAAAAATACCAAAATTACAGATATTTGACATATTCTGAAGCAGCTAATCTTGTAAACGTTTTAAATACTGCCAAGTTTCTGTTAAATTATGAACACTATTAGCGTCATAAAATGAGGAGGCGGTAAGGCAGGTAGCAAACATGAAGACGAGAAACGCTAAGAATTTTAGTCGGAAACCTTGAAGAGACGTCACCACTTAAATTACTTAAGGGTAGATCGGACGATAGTTAATATGTTAGATGTCAGGATGTGGATTGGATAAATCTGGCTCAGGAAAGGGTTGAACGTTGGTATCTAGTGCACACTTTAATAAACCTTCATGTTACGTAAGTGGCAGGCAATTCTATGTCTATTTTAGGGATTATAAGCTTCTCAAGACTTCATGGAGTTAGTTCGTAAACTTACATAGAATGCCATCTTGTTCTCATAGTTATCGATACATTCGTTGCATTCTTACGGGAGCTGAAATAACAGAGGCTGTTACGTAGAAAATATTCATTAATAAAGATGGGTACAAATGTTTTCAGATCTACGCTTCGTCAATTCGTGCTTAATCTTGAAGCACCGTCTATTCCAAAAACTGAAGCCTCTGCTAGAACATAAAGGAATACGAACAAATGAGACACAATGATTCGAAAAATAATTGTGTCGTGGAAAATAGTTACCGTAGATATGGCACCGCTCATTAAAGAAATATACAGGGATTGCGAACGTCAAGTTTCTCCCGCGTCGCTCGCAATGACGCATACGCGACAGCGAAACGAGCAGATATCCTGCCCCGTCCCAAGAACACTGTGATTTTGAAAACGCGTGTTTATAACTCCACATTCACATAAACGTTACAAGTATTTCTAGTCTGCTTATTTTATATGGAAAGAGAGTTCACACAGTGTCCATAAAAACAGCCGTGAATATGCCAACATTAAATACAGTGCTTCGGGTGTAACTTGAGCGGCATTGCGCTTAGATACCACTGAAACACAATTCTACAAAGCATTGAAAATCGATCAATCGACGCCATACTGTGTGTGTAAAAGAAACAGCACGGTTAAATAACACAGGAATCAATTAAACGTTGATACATAACTTTTGCAGTTGATACAACATCCTTAAATAAAGTAGGAATCAATCGATGCTGTATAATATCTTTGACTGAGATAACATTATCAGATAACGTAATAATCTCTCAAACAATGCCTATAATCCAGGGCTAAAAAAACTTTCTATAAAAGGTCTGAATTATAGGCTTTGAGTCCTTTTCAGGGTTGGAAAGAGGTTATCACGATGTAACGCATTAATTGTTCATAAATGATTGTGGACGCAAATACAGATGATATCTCACTTCCAAAGTCCTTCAAACTGATATGAACTCGTTTAAGAGCACAAAAGATCGGTGGTAAGCTTCAAGAAAGTGAACTTGCTTTAGTTTCGTATCACTCTATAGGCCAATGAGTTCCAACTGAAGATTGTCTGTGGCTTCAGCGACATCAAAGAAGAAACGAGAGGCCGGTAAGCAAATTTAATTTTCCACTTTCCTGAAATTATGAAATGTATGACTGAGTTGGTCATGAAATCATAAAGAACATCAATGTCTTAACGGGTGCTCTAGAACTCACACTCCTGCTTTGAACAGTGTAAAAAAAAGTGTAATTTTTTTCATCAGCTTATTTTGAAATTATCCAAGACTCAATCACGTAAAGAGAGTTTTTATCTCGGTTCGAAAAATTGCGTGAAACAGCATAACAATCAAATAACGGCTATCAGTAAATCAATGCCATATAACCTCTGTACTTCAGGCAAAGTCGTCAAATAAACTAACACTATAAAGAGTGCGGAAATCTTTCATGAGCCACTAAAGAAAAATGTCTTGAATATCCAGATACTCAATTGAATAAAAATTTACTTGGATACCTGAAGACGGAGATAGAGCCCCATCTCCGAAACGTCGTTTTACGTTTTTTACGTTTTATTACTAGACGATGGATAATATCCAAGTAAATTTTTATTCAATTGACTCTTCACCATCGTCAAGAAGTTTTAGATTTGATATATCCAGATACTCGCCAGACAGTTTCAACAGAGTCTGGCAGCCAACATCTTCTCGATTCCCGAAACTAAAAAAAATGTTCAGTTTCACACGAAAAGGGAATTAAATAATGCTGCAAATTATTACTAACTCTGCCACAATCTCGTGACTAAATTGTTTCTATTTCGTGATACAGCTCAGGCTGACAAGGTGGGACCAACCTCTTACATCACACCATCACTTACTCAGTCAAAAAAACTTTTCCATTTTACGCAATCAAGCATTTAACCGTTTCTCCTACGAATCGGTGCAAAAGCAAGAGAAAACATTGATTCTTAAAATCTTTCACAGTCTGTGCCATAAGTTAACGCATATACGGGAGGTCACGTCATTCCGTCTGATACCTTCGGGCATACGGTACGGATTTTGACAGAATCTCGTATAGGTTTATTATGGTATTCACAAGAGCCTGCTGTAGGTCCCTATCCTCACAAACAATTTAATTAAGATCCGTCTTAATATTATCCTCCCATTTACGCCGAAGTCTCCTTTCAGATTCTGCGAATAAAGATCTCGCCCTCTCTGATCTGATCATCCTAATAGTACTTGATAAATAGTATACATTATGAAGCTCCTCATTTCGTATTTTTCCCCATCGATCCATTGCTCTTCCCTTCTAGGTCAGATCATCTTCAACATCTAGCACCATCAGTCTGTCTTCTTACCGAGACAAATATAGAAGGTATTTATGATAACTTGAATCCCATTACGAGATACATACACAATCTAATGAAAAAAATATCATATAGACCTATGTATATTTCAGAGAACACTTTTAAAGAAACATCTCTTACCAGCAGAGGTTCAAGACGAAATCGGTATGAAATGCTCACCTTCAGCCTGAAAAAAGAAATGGTGTTATAAATACATGAATGAAAAACATAAAGACGAAAACTTACAAATGCCAACACCAAGCAATAATTTAATGTGAACCTATAAATAACTATAACATTTATAATTACACAATTCACTTTTCTGTTTATGTGCATAATTTTCACAATCAGATTTTTATATTTTTAACACTTAAAACGCCTCATAAACAGTTTGTAGGTAAGTTTATGAACTATATAAATACAAAATTTTAGACGACTAAATTCCTAAGTTCGATAATAACCATTGAAACAAACAAAAAAATACTCCAAAGGCTTGACAAACGGAAGGAAGGAATGTAGAGATGCGACATTAGTTCTGTATTTCCTTTTAAATTAAGAAAAGTTGCCCAAAATTTTGATTAACATGATTCTCGGATTCACTGATGTCCAATGAACCAGTGGGAACAGAATAACATCCATTCGTTTGAATTATATGAGCGGGCCAATTAGCTGCTTTACAAACAGAAAGACCTAACATTATGGGGCAATGCATGTTGAATATTGACAGGGATGAACAGATTGCCTACTACAAACTTCTAAATCACAAATATGTTAATGAAACAAACTGATTAGTGATGAAGGGTTTAATTACAAGTTTCACTAACAGGGAAGGCTTTAAAGAAGGCAGGAGCTGCTTGGGAGACCACCTAGAAGTAAATGAGACGATATTAAAAATACTTAAGGAAGAACTTTCAACTACAGACAGGGTATTCATGGATGTTGCTTTATACGCAGACTCTATGGCGTGGGATGAAATGGGAGGCTAAAGATGACTATCTTCGGGGTTGCGATCTCATCGCCCTGATGATGGTAGCAGGAATATCGGTAAACTTCTACCAAATCATACGACGCAACAACCCAGAAGACAGCAACAAAGAAGACTCCGAAAGAATTAATATAAAGAAGCTTTACGTTTGAATATTAATCATTCCTATTGTAATATACGTATTCTTTTTCTTGAAAACGTAGTACTAAATCAAGGATGCATATTACAGCAGATGGCGTCTTAAAATCGAGGAAATACTGTATTAAATTTCTTCAATATAAAATATACTAAAATAATCCAATGGTATTTTAAAATAACGGGGTACTGCATGGTGAGTTCTGTTGTGCTGTGCTTTTATTTCTGTGGATTTGTGTGTTGGGCGTTTCAAGTAAAAGTAAAGTTTGTCCCACTATACGCCATGTAGGCGTTTGGGGTGAGTGGAGGTATAGCTCCTCTCTTCTTTGACCTCGGCACTAGATGGGGGTGAGTGGTCAGCATCACGCCCCGGCCGGCTTTACCCCCGGGAAAGGACCCCGGTACCCATTGTGGAGGAGGCTGGGTGGGCCCCAGAGCCGGTCTGGACGCAGAGGCTAGAGGAAAAATCCTCTACTCCCGTCCGGGGATCGAACCTCAGTCCAGCCCGTAGCTAGTCACTATACTGACTGAGCTATCCCGGCTCATGGGCGTTTCAAGTACTCTTGCCAAAACTGAAAAGTGTGTGTAGAAGTGGCAATGCTATTAAAGTCAAGAGACACAAACAACACACTGGGATGTCACACTACAGAATGAATAACGACACTTAATTCGCCTAACGTCGCTGACCAAAGTACGAGACACTTCTGCCAAGGAACATGTAACTTCTGAGATTCGAAACTGATATTCCGTGAACACACGTACGGCTACACCATCCAGTTTAATTTAAGATGTGAAAATGCAAACTGTGCTAGGGTTTGGGGCAAGAGAAATTCTCTTGTGATGAGAGTGATAAGATTGCAGGCTTTGTAATGGTGATGGGGGGGGATAGTACTAACAGTGGTAACAGCAGTTGGAGCGACAGCAAATGCTGGTGGTAGTTATGAGAGAAGCAGCAGAATTACGAAGACGCTTCAACTTCAAAGACTCTGATCCTATTACAGGCAGCTTCTACTCGTAGTTGGAACAAACATCTACTGCTGAAGTAACAGTGTGTACCTTGCTGTTATGAGCGCATTGCAATTTGACAAAAAAAATTACGGGACAGTAAGGCAAAAAAAGAGGTCTGATTGTTGGGTACTTCTTTTCAAAAAAATGGTATTTCTGGTATGTTGCTTATCAGATCTCAAAAACATATCTCCCATATTTAAATGGAAATGTATTAAAACCGATTTTACAATCTTCGTGTAGGCGTGATGTTAACTTACAGATCTTATAAACAAGCACTTCAGTTGCGTTTTAATATTAAACTTTAATATTGCAGATCATAAACACAACTAAATGTTAAAAGCATATATGTTCTAATTCACTGGCAACATGTTTCGATACAATGTAACATTTTCAGGCCAATCCGTAGCTTAACTAATATAATGCGCCAACATTTAAATCTTACAACTTTAATCGAATATATGCATTTACGTATGACAGACATAATAACAACAAATTTTATGAAATCCAATGATTTTCGTTTTGAAAATAGGTCTATTCGTTATATTGCAATATAAATTACGCAGATAACGTTTATGTTAAAATCGACAGTTTTGATTTAGACTCTGTCGGGCTGCAGCGGGCAAACACTCAATGCTAATGTGAGCGCTGTATTATTATTGTGACTATGATGTGTCCATATATCGGTGGAAATAATGTATACATTGTCAAACCGGTGGTATTACATTACCAGGCGCACTGATGATCTATAATAAATCAAATCAGTGACTTCCAGATGTTAAAATACATAATCATGTGTAATGTAGCTACCATATTAAAAGTAAACCCAGAAGGAGGAGATGGCTGATGCATTGTGAAAATAATAAATGTGAAGAAAATGTTGCCGTACAAACTTGAGGGATAGAGAGCTAAAGGGGAGTGACATATATTGGGGGGGGGGGGTAGTTAAACGCGTTCTGCACAAATATGAAATAAATTTCTGGTCATGATACAAAGAACAGGACAAGGTCTACCGGCAGGTTTTTGCGAAAACGTTGTTTAAGATTCGGGCATCACAATAGCAGGGAATATCTTGACCACATAAACTTCGCTTTTCAAAAGTGACACTGCATCACAAAGGTAATTGCAGGAGAAGAACAAACGTCCTTAAATTTTCACGTCAGGAGTTCACTGTGAGATTTCGTTTGTTTTTATTTTTTCAGGGATGAGCCGAAAGGTTTTGCAACGTTTCGGCAAACACTGCAGTTCCCGTCTTTAGGGTAATTGTGTACTGGTTCTGTATTTTTGGAAGTCTTATATAGCACGTACCCACGTGTTCGTCACCGATTGAATAACAGTCGGCTCCTCCACACCGCTATTTTTTTTTTACCACCTGCTCTAAGTAAGGCTTCACAGTGATATCACTGATATAAACTAGTGTTTGCAGAACCGTGGTGCAACCTTCGACATTCCAAATGGATCACCCCTGAAAAACCAAAGTAGCACATTAGTTATCAATTATCGATAACTCCCTCGGATAAAATCAGAGTTTGATATCCACTAATCTCCATTACGTGTCAAATTGGAAACTGAATAGGGCCCATTCATTTCAATTATATAAATGTATTAATTAGCTATATTAACACGTGCTCAACGATTACTGAATACCAACGGGGATAGGCAAAATACCACTCCAGCTTCCGAAATACATTTAGGAAATCTATGAATATGTAGCTGTTTCAGAGATCAGGTTTTCGCTTTATACGAGAAGGTAAATATCCATCGATATATTGTTTTTATTTTACCCGATAAGCAGTGTACGTTTATTGGAGTAATTCCGGCTAATGTTGTTTTCAGATTACTTTAAGTTCTACTTTAAACAGGTTTCATTTAATCTGTATAGAATATAACTTTGTTCTGATTTCCAAACCTTTCCTGTAACTTCCTTACCAGTCAAACAAGCTAGTTTTATAGGTACAAGGCCTATACCTTTCCACCGTTACACTCAAACGGCAAGGAAACATGACTTCTAGATCCCCTATAGGGGGCACAAAGATGTATATATATATATATATACATTACTCTCCAGTAATTACGTTACATCTCAAGAGAACATTATGAATACATGCCCTAACTTTGTTGCTAAGCAACAACGAATCCGAACAATTAAACAACTGTCAAGTACATAAACTGACTTTCAACTCATCTAGTCATGCCATTGAATAATACCATCTTACTTTTATCCAAACTTGAAGTTTATGCTTTAATGCCTTCACAGAAGTTTCCCGTAATTTGTCCAAATAGATGTCCCCCGCCTGAAGTAACACTACCATGCATCTCTATGATAAAACAAATACAAACTCAAAGTAAGAAATCTACGTTCCCCACAGACAGGTACATGTATCTTTTAGACTTTACAAAAATACCTACAGTCAGTAAAATCCCGGTTCCGTAATAGGATTTGATTTATTTGATTAAGTCAGTGTATCGAAATTCCGGCAAAAATTTTGTGTGGATATCTCATCTCAGCAATGAGGGTCACATACCACAACCATTTGAATATTTTTGATTCAGTCGGCCTCATAATATTTATCTAGACCCGGTGAAACTCACTACAACGTCTGAATACGGAGTAGACTACCAGCGTTCGATCCTCGGCAGCGTCAACAAAATTTTCTTCCAGTCTCCGCGTCCAGACAGGCTCTGGGGCCCACCCAGCTTAATACCAACAAGTACTACAGGGGGTGGGGGTTTGGGGTCCTATTCTCTGGGGTATAGAGCGGCCGGGGCGTGACGCAGACCAGTCACCCCCTTCTAGTACCGAGGTCAACAATGAGGAGCAGCTATACCTTTCCCCAGAAGCCTGTAATGGGACAGCTTTACTAAATAGGGATAAAACAGATGAAGCGTGAAGCTAACCATTCATCTCCACCAAGTACCAACCACTCCATGGGTCTGCTGCATGGGGCAATGCTCAGAAATCAGGCATAGGGACAACTTTACTATTTACATTATAATATATTTTCAACTCTAAGTCTCTAAAAAGGTTTGGCGGCTAAAAATACTGTCACTAGTGCGACACA